TCTTTGATACTTATTAAAATAAAAGACACAATTTCAATTATATCATTCATAATGTGGCTGTGCAGTTAATAAATAATAACTGTTTCTTAGGTAATGGGTAAGCACAGCTGGCAATCAACAGTTCTCCATAATCTCATGTAAGATAAGGCCATATTCTCTCATTCCAAGAACACAATCTGAAATCAGACTAGCTGGCCCACTATCCTTTGACCTAACACATATCTTTCTCCCTCTTTGAACCTGGCTGTCTCACCCAGTAAAATAAGAATGCTGGCCAAGGACAGAGGATCACAAAGTCAAGTAGGTCACCCGTCCTACAGAGGAACACAGCACAAACCCCAGAACCTATAACTGTAATCACTAACTTGGGGAATCAGGACGTTCTTTGCACATATCCGTGGTGAACTTCAGAGTTCACTAGATGGGGTAGGAGTGAACAGTAGGAAACAACAACTAGGAAACAACAACTAAGAAAGTTAAGACAGTAAAGAAAGTTAAGTAAGTCCTCACAGTAAGTCAGCAGGTGTTGGAAACATGTAAGGAAAGCAGCTCCTCTCTTCACATCATTTCCAGGTTTCCCACTGTTCCAGGGGAACATCTTCATTTACTAGGTGCCTGGAAATTGCTGGATGACATAAGAAGCTTCTCCTGAAAAACTACATAAAACGGACAAGAACAGGGAGGGTGCCAGAAAGGAAAGCAGTTGGCTGGGTAATGTGTCCTGTGGCTAAAGCCTGAGATCAGAAAATCCTCCAGTGGCCTCCAAGTGAGCTCTACACAAGCAGAAGGACTAAAAATTGCTCACCATATAGCTTTTTTTAAAAAAAAAAAAAGATTTTATTTATTTATACAAGCACTGGGGTATAGGCTAGAGGCGAGGGAGGGTGAGAGAATTCACCAGAGACAGGGCAGGGAGCAGAACAGGCAGACAGACCAAGAACACTGCTGAGGGAAGCAGTGGGCGAAACAGAAGAGGTCTGCCACGCCATGTGGGTATCTCCCTGGCTGGCCGGGAATCGAACCCGTGCTACAGAGGCTGCAGATAGCTTCACAGCGCTGTGCTCAACTAGCTGTGCCACTGGGGAGGTCGCTCACCATACAGCTTAAAATTCGAGTTCCTCAGGAAGTATACTACTGATAAATGAACAATGGAGATGAGGCCAACAAGATGGCCAACAGAAACACCAATTTAACTACTATCCTTTGTTACAGTCACTGAACCCAGAAGCAAAGGTGGCAGCACTCCAGTAGAGCACAAAAACTGAGGAGAAGAGCCACACTAAAAAGAGGTAAGAGCAACAGTTTCACTTTATGCCTATAAATGAATGTTCTAATGATCTTAAGATGACTTGCAAATAGTACAGATATGGCAGTACTGTGTGTATTCAAAGCATTAATTTCTTAAATGACAAGCAGACAGAATATGCATATCCTGTTGTGAAATTCTTTTTTCAATATATGGGAAGCCTCCAAAAATGGAAATGAAATGCTATATATCTAATGTCATAAGCCAATGTTATTTCAAAAAAAAAAAAAAAAAAAAAAAAACTTTTTAAATGAAGTGGCTCATGTTTCTTGGGTTCTGAGTTTATTTCAGGCATTCAGCTGATGGTGTCCTGGCAAAGCAAAGCAAGGGAGAACTACAGCCAGAAAACACGGGAGCCCAGGGACAACTTGGCAGCTACTGAAGAATGGGAGTCTAGAATGATTCTGCAGTTTCCAGTCCTGGTCATTTGGAGGACAATGGTGTTATTAATAGAGGAGGAAGTCAGGAGAGAAATGGTCTTAGAGAGAAGAAGATATGTTCTTTCAGGTGTGAATTTATATATTCTTTATATCTACTTAATAGTCTTTCTATCTACTTAGCTTCTATGGACCAAAGAAACCCCACTGATAACTGCTCCTGAACTGCGTGAAGGGCACTGAAGAAGCTCAGCTCCAGGCTGGGCTCTGGAGCATGGAAATTCACAGGTCAGAGAATGCAGCTCTCAGGAAAACCACAAATCCCTTTAGATAACTGAGTCTTTTCTCACAGATCGCCTTTGAAATGGCTCTCTGAGCTTAGCTCACAGCAGTCACTGATGCCCAACAGGAAGGCATCTGCAGAAAAGAGGAGGAAGGTGGGGACCTCAGGTCGTACTAGAACCAGATTTACCTTGGAGCACCCTCAGTCTGGTTCCCACTTCTTTTATTTATATATATATACACACACACATACACACATACATACATATATACACATATATACATATATATTCTTTTACATAATATATATATTACATCATTGTTCATTATTGTACAATGTATGCTTGTATGCTTTCTCCTTTTGGGTGTAGTCCCCATAAAATTCCCACCACCAATTCACCCGTGAACCATCACCATAGTCCCTTGAGCTCTTCTCTCCCCTGTTTTGATCTCACATCTGAAGACCAAGTGTAGCTTCTGTCCCACCCCACACACCCCTGGCGAGAGGGAGGGAAGGCGGGGTGGGGAGAGGGAATGAGCATGTGAGGGAAGGTGGAGTGGAGGGAGAGAGAATATAGCACCTAACACCGGAATGTAATAGGGACTAAAAAGGAGAAACTTGTGTTCAGCCCAGTTAGTCAACTATGTACACAGGTGAAGAATCTGAAGTCCACAAGGTATAAAGCACACAAGTCCTTAGGGGCAGATCGAGAACTAAGGTCTCCCGACACTTCTTCCTACCACCTGAGAGCAAATCAGGAGCCATGCTCCCTTTGCTCTGATTCCCCAGCACAGCCCCCCACCCCATCTCCCACTTCACCTCACTGCTAGTCACCATTTGCTTTCCTTGCTCAATGGAAAGAGAAGCCTGGAGGTGGTGAGAGGAGGATTATTCTCCCTTCAAGTATGTTTTTACTGGGGACCCCTGCATCTTTGAACAAGAATTCACATCACTAATTGTATTAATCAACTAAACACTTTACAAAGAAATAACACCAACAAAGTTTCTGTCATAGGGGATCTGAAATCAGTGTACAGTGTTAAAAAAAAAATAAAAGGAAGGAAACCAAGACCATATGATCACTCTGGAATTAAGTATGTTTTGCATATTTTGAGAAGAAAAAATAGAAGCCCTTCACTGTAACTCACTACTCGTTTTGTAACATGATCACAAGAAGGAAGCTTGATAGCATTTATCTATAAATCATAACAATCTTAAGTTGTAAATTAAATTTCAAAAATTACATTGGCTATCTAGGCCACTTAAGCATGTTAAAGACCTTTATTGTAGTTAGAATTTATGGGAGAAAAAAATGACAAATCAGATTATATTAAAGAAAAAGTAGGTATTGATACAAAGTTCACATTAACACAGAAGGCTTTTAAGTGTGCCTTAAATAATAATATGGGAAGGTACTGCGTCAAGGAAGGCCCTTCTGCTCATATAAAATTCTACCTGAAGAAGAAATAGTTACACAATCTCAATTTCCCAAGTAAAGTTTCTAGAAACAGAAAATATTATAGAATAAGCAAAATCTGGAAAGAAGATTGAATAAGGATCAGATTCTTATTCAGATATCTGTTTAACACTTTTAAGTAGCCTATCCAGAAATTCCCTAATGTGCAGTGGAAACCACAGCTTTGTTTGAATTATGACAGAGAAAGAGAAAGATAAAAAAAATAATTTGTAAACATAAATATATATAGTATTTTAAGCCAAAGCTATAAGTACTTTTATATATTCCTAACGAGAGTAACTGCCAGAACAAGACCGTGTGGAAAGCAACTTAACAATTTAACAATATTGTCAAATGACTAGTCCTCTGATCCAAAATTCTATTTCAGAAAATGTTTTATATAAACAAACTTGAACACACACAAGGTTATTTATAGCAGCAATATTTCCTGGCAGAAGACTGGAAATGCTCCAAATTCTCATTAACAGGACACTTATTTAAGAAATCATGATACAGCTATACAGGACACACTGTCTACAGAAATGAATGTTGAAGTGCTCAAAGTGTTATAAATAGGGAAGCAAGGGGAAATTAATTATCTACGGTTGTATTTATTTCCACAGATTTTTTAGAGATAAAGAAATTAAAGAGATTATGGAAGTGGATAATAGGATGGGAGAGAAGGAACTTCACAACATATCTTTCTATTCTCTTTTATATTAGAATATGTGAGTACACTACCCATTCAAAAAATTAAATAATTTTCAAATACACTAAGATTCAAAATATTTCATTAAATAATATACTTCCTTTAGCAAAGAAAGCAGATTTTTAGCATAAATTTAAACAAATTTGACCTTTGAACCTTTAAGCAAAAAATGAAATTAGATAATTCTAACCCTTACTCTTTTTTTTTAAGTTTTATTTATTTATGCATACAAGAACTGAGATACTGGCCAGAGGTGTGGCAGGGAGAGGATTCACCAGAGAGTGTGGGGAGCAGAACAGGTGGATCTACTGAAATACACTGCTGACCAGAGCAGCGAGATAGGAGAGGTCTGCTGTACCATGTGGGTTAGCTCCCTGGCCGCCCGGGGGAATCGAACTCCTGCTGCAGTGGTTGCCAATTGCTTGATAGCACTATTGGCAGATAGCGCTTTTGTCTAAAAATAATCCTTTCTTGGTGTTTTCAAGTTAAACGTGAACATGGTTACCCATTAAAAAAAAAAAAGTGCCTCCCTAGTGGCACAAGGGATTAAGCACAACACTATGAAGCTGTCTGCAGCCTCTGCAGCATGAGTTCGATCCCGAGCCGGCCAGGATGCCACCCACATGGTGCAGCAGACCTCTCCTGTCTCGCCCGCTGCTCCCCTCAGCAGTGTATTTCAGTCTGCCTGCCCGTTCTGTTCCCCACTCTGTTTCTGGTGAATCCTCTCACCCTCCTCACTAACTGGCCTGTACCCCAGTTCTTGTATGCATAAATAAATAAATCTTAAAAAAAAAAAAAAAAAAGACAGATTCCAGCAAAACAGCTACTTTTCAGGAGCTTTCCTATCTAGCCACAGAAAACACCCATACCTTTGACAGCATGGTTCTTCCTCCCATGAGGGATTCGGTGAAGGGTAAGAATATATCCGTCTTGCGTCTCAACTAAGTGGTCCTCACAAGGAAATCCCCAGTAAGTGATAATTTCACTCTATGAGAAAAAAGAACAGTGGAAATTCTATAAGCAGACCCCCCACACTAACAAGCAAGTAGAAGACATTTCAATGACAGACATTTTTGAAGAAATCAGTAGTGATTGAAACTTCAGTCTGCTTATCCTAGTTGCCAAAGTTGCATCACAAGAGCAAATCCTTCTTTGTTTTTTACCCATGAGTTCTACTCAGAGGTGTTTTGGTGAGATCTCAGTTTCATCATTCTATCATGTTCTACACCAAGTATGTCTAGTTTTACCAAGCTTTGGACCTGTTCCCATCTTTTGTGTCCACTGCAGACACAAATAAACATTCTTATTTCTTTATTTTTTTTCCTAAACATACCAGCTAATACTATAACCTATCACTTCACTTGTTATGAGGTCCCGTCCTGGAAACAAAACATAAGAAGCATTAATCCATTTTATCAATAGAATAATAAAATTACTTAGAATGTCAAGATGGAGTTAGAGAACAAGAAAAGGAAAAAAAAAAAAAGGAATTATGATCAAATTCTCTTCTCCATAAGGAAAGATCTGTGGGACAACTATTAATCAGGAGTTTAGTAGAATAAAGGTAACACAGTGATCCAGATTTCATGGAAATAAGTGTTCATTATCTCTTCTGCCATAAATACCTGAGAGAACTTAGTCATTCTTAAAGGCAAAAATTTAAAGGGGAAGAGCATAAAAGAAAAACTATGTGGCAAGAAATATTAGTCAATAAAATCCCTGGCATCAGGCCACAATTTCACGTCTCACTATAAATCTATCCCAGGCTCTAAAATTGTCTAAATCTGTACTTGGGGCACTGCATTGTCTGCTTTATGGTTGCTTTCTTTAATAATCTATATTTTCCCAGCAATTTATGCCTACAGGAAGTGTTCTCATATTTTATCATCTACTTAAGATTAATAACTTCAAAATGTTATAATTACTCAAGGGATTATTTTTGCTTATTTGTTCTAACAAAAATTGTCTCAGATACTTTCATTTTTGTATTGAACTATGCTCCCTGGACACAGTTAATAACAGTCTTTGTTCAACAAAGCTGTACCCAGTAGTAACATTCTTACAAAGTTTTATTTTCCTTATACAAATTCTGGGAGACTTAACACAATAGAGATATAAATATCATTTATCTTTTTAAGAAATAGTATTAATAGTAAAATGAGGCTTGTAAAATATGTATTACCAGGTGGAAAAGTCTTACAAAATGAATTTAAGATTCTGAGAACATGAAAAGAAAGCATAATGAGATATAAGCAATTAATTTGTGATTTCATGTGGCCACATAATGGGAGTTAAGAAAATAGTTAACATTTGGGACAGATGCAATTTAAAAGAAGGTGGCTTGAAAAACTTACCACATTCATATATGTTTCAGGATCCACAGGTGTCTTTCCAGCTGCCTGGACAGGCAGGGTCCCAAGGACCAAACAGACCACGAGCCCCAACAGCTGCATTTTAATTCTGCATAAAATAGTCCACTGTTAGTTGGCCAAATTTTACTTTTAAAAAGAAAGTTATGAAGCCAGTGTAGGGCAAGTAAAAGATAGATGACGGACAAATATTAAAGAAAAGACTACAAGAAAAGAGTCTCTTTTTTTGGAAATCTTCCCACTGACCACCCCCCGTTTATGAACCTATAGAGCCCAGTAAAATCCACTCGCCTGTTCTCACCATGAGGTTAAACAAATTGCTCCTGGGAATAAGTGAAGGGAGGGTTTAGCAGAGAATCAGTTGAGAAAAAAAGGAAGATCTTCAGAATTCTGGTCACTGTTAGCCTCCCAACTTTTGCCTCCTATTTTCAATTTAAACATTTTTAGGTTTGGCCAGTACTGGTGCTCACTGGCTCCACATCTATTCACTTCTGCTCTGGCACATATTACATGATCACCCAAGGAATAAATGAAAAGAAGCCTTCAAGAGAAACAAAGGGGAAGAAGACCACCCCATTGTCCTTCTGAGACCTTCCAACCATCAACAAGGGCCATCTAGCTTCTGGAAATAATGGCACAAAATTCACAGTGTAGCAAAGACCTTAAAGTCAAAGTAATGCAACTTTGACATCCAGACAGTTAGAGGCAAAGCTGGGACAACAGCCAGGCTTCCTAAACTTTTGTAAATAAATATAAACACTTTCAAAGACACATCATGTATGCTCATACAAAGACATGTACAAAAAATTCAAATGCCCCCAAAGAGTGACTAGATAATATAATTATATAAACATACCACTCAGCAGTAAAGACATGAACACATAACAACATGGGTGCATCTGCAAATCATTATCAAGTGAACGCTGCCAGACCAAAAAAAAAGATTAAATAGGACATGATTCCATTATATAAAGCACTAGAAAATGCAAGCAAATCTCTATTGACAAAAAGCAGATCAATGGCTGCCTGGAGAGTAATGAGGCAGGAGTTAAGCATTACAGAAGGGGTGCTTTACAAAAGGAATATTTTGGAGGTGATGAATAGGTTTATTACATTGAATACACCCATATAAACACTAAAACCTGCTCTATTATGTCAACTATACAATACAGCTGTTCTTAAGATGCTTGTTGTTAAATTGAGTATTCCACAAGAATTTGGTTCCTAGGAGACTACAAAATAACTGACTCTTCTGTTTGGTGTGATTCTTGCTGGTGCTGAAGCTTCCTCTCCAAGCAGTGGTGAACCTTAAACTTCTAGACAAGAGGGATGTTATCTTGAGTCTGCACTGGCTACTTTTACTTACAAATTTGTATTTCTTTATGGTGCTTATATTTCTTTATGTGCAGACCTGGGCTACCATTTATCATAAATAAACATCCCCAAAGTCCATTATTGCTAGGGAGTTAGAAGTAGATTTAAAAGAAAAAAATAAAAGGTTATAGGCTCAATTTAAAACCATGTGACTTTTCATTAAATGCCTAGGCGAGAGCCTGGAGCAGCTGCACACAGGGGAATATCCATGAGGGTAACAGCTGCAGACACACAACTGAAAATGTCCCAGAGTTCATCGTTCCTCCTAACACAACACCAAGAAAATTTCTCAACATACTAGTCAAATGATTCCCATAAGAAGTTAAACACTAAATCTGCTTTTCTGGGCTCTCTTAGCGACTTTGGCTCAGTTTTTTCTACATCGTAACAGTTCTGTTAAGTGCTTGTCTGGCCTTGTTTCATCCGAGCCTAAGGGAAGAACCAAAGTGTTATTCAACTTTGAACCCCTAGTAGATACACAATACAGAGTTTGAGCAATGGGATAGGGCGGAACAAAAGTTCAGTGACTGAAGAAAATAAAGCCCCACAGCAACTTGTCACTTAGTTTTCTAACAAAAACAATAATTTCAGCTCCCATCTAAGCTCCGCCTTTACTCCAGACATCCCAGGCAGAGCTTCCACATACTACGTTAATTACTACACCGGTTCTTTGCAGTGCCCTTAAGTCCTTTTTTGTTTTCCAGGAAACTGCCGTTCTTTTAGGTTAAGCACTGGAAACAAAGTGCCAACTGGTTAAAAAGAATCTCAGGGATTTTCACCAGGACCATGCCAGAGTCGGCTCAAGGCCAGGCCATTGGCTAAAGAGTTTCAAGGATGCAGCAGGCTGCCTCTGAGAGCTAATGGAAACAGGAGACAAGAACCGAGGGAAGCCGGTAATCAGGATTCTGGAAGTCGCCAAGTCCGAGGGCTCTGCCAGGAATTCAGGGGCATCCAGGGAGGTACGGGCTACTTCGGGGAGCCCCCGACTCCCTGGTCGTCTGCAGATGCCTCCGGTCACCACCTGCAGAAGTTCTCGCTGGTTCTCCAGGCAAGACGCGCCAGGGGCCAAGCGCAGATGGTGCTGCGGGTCTGCAGATGCGCCGGGGCGCTAAGACAGAGAACCGAGCACCCGCGCGCGGCCCGACCCTCGGCAGCCGCGCAGGCCAGCGGAGCTGCCGCAGCCTCACCGAGCAGAGCTGCAGGGGCCGCACTCACCTGCAGCGCCCGTGCCCAGCCGCGTCCAGGGCCTCATTGATCCCCCAGGCCCGCGCTGGGAGAGAGGGAGCAGGGGTGCGGACTGCCCGACGGGAGGGCGGGCACGCACACTCCGCTCCGGCTATTCGCGCCGCCAATCGGGGTTTCAGGCCGCCGGGCTGGCCCTGGAGACTCCGCCCCGGCCGAGCGGGGCATGCGCCGTGGACTGGCGGCGAGGCGCGGCGGCGATGCCTCTGCTTGCTGGGCAGGGCGCTTGGGGACCGGCAAGGTGGCTTGGCGACTGTGTCTGCGCTGTCTCTGTAGCTCTTGCACCACCGACACCCTCTGCTCCTCACACAGAGTACTTGGACACTTGAGGCAAACAATGTCATGCTTCTTATAATGCGCTTAACATTGTACCTGATGCAAAAAACGCCTTGTACATTTTGTGCTGTGATGTACAAGCATCAGTAAGACACTAGAGGTACAGCAGTTCCTGTTCTCAGACTTACTTTTTTTTTTTTAAAGATTTACTTATTTTTATACAAGACCTGGGGTATAGGCCAGAGGCGCGGGAGAGTGAAAGGATTCACCAGAGACAGGGCGGGGAACAGAACAGGCAGACTGACTGAAATATACTAATGAGGGGAGCAGCGGGTGAGGCAGGAGAGGTCTGCAGCGCCATGTGGATAGCTCCCTGGCCGGCTGGGGATGGGACCGCGCTGCAGAAGCTGCAGACAGCTTCACAGCGCTTTGCTCAACCCGCAGCACCACCAGGGAGGCCCCAGAATTACTTTCTAATGGGAAGATACACCATGATAATAAATGAGTAGCGGTATGTGTTATGAAGAACACATACACTCATATAATAAATAATTAGTGGTGTTAGGAAGAACAATATAACGGTAAAGGGGTAGTGGAGGGCACTGTGTTATTCGTAATCTGAAAATAACTCCGTTGAAGTGACATCTGAACAAGGAGGATGGGAAGATGATTGAGAGCTGCATGCATGCTGGAGAAAGTGCATTCTAGGGTGAGACAATAGTCAGTACAAATGTCCTTAGGCACGAATACTCCTGCTAGAGTCTAGGCAGCAAAATGAGATGAATGTGGCTGGAATTTGATGAGCTTGGTGGAGAACAAGAAGTCCTAACTAGCTGAGTATTTGGGGAGTCAAGTGTAAAGACTTTTGTTCTTGTGACCAAGGTGGAAAAGACATCACTAGAAGGCTTTCAGTAAACAGGTAACAATCTAGTTCACAATTTAGAAAGATTACTCTGGTTACTGTGGTCATCTGTGGAAGCAGAAAGACTGCTTAGAAAACTATTGCAGACAGCAATATGCCTTGGACCAGGGTGCTGAGAACAGTGGAGGTGGAGAAAATTAGTCAGCTGTAGGTCTGTTGATACGGCCAACCAAAAGGATTTCCTGGTGAAATTGGATAAGGGTATGAAGCGGATGCATGCAATGTAAGGATGGCAATGAATTCAGATGGAGAACGTGCAGGAAGAGTAGTTGGGGAAGTTTGTTTAAGATGTGTCCATTCTTGAAGTTTGTTCAAGATGTGTCCACTCCTGTCAAAGAACTTGATCAGCTAAGTCCTGTTCAGGAAACAGGACCCACTCTAGGTATTTATTCCAAACAGAGGAAATGTTTATTTCTGGGAAGCTAAAGAAGGATCAGGCAGGTCCTACTGAGATTAGCAACAGCAGGAAGGCGTGAGGTATTATTGGACAGTCACCTGATTCAGTGTAGTGCTCAGCAGCAACCTCTGCCAGAGACACTGCCCATCCTACCAAAAGAAATGTTGTGGTTTTCTGTCCTTCTGTCTTCCAAATTTTCCACCAGCCCCTTCCTTGGGTCAAATGCAGCCTGAAACTGGTGGACAAAGGAGGCTAAGAACTGAAACCTGCAGAGTCAGACCCCTCGACCTTTTACAACAGAAGATATAAAAGCTGAGAAGGCAGGAAGATTGAAGGGGAGCTAAGAGTATTGTACTTGACCAAGTGAAGAAAACAATTTTAATAAAGAGGAAGTGATCAGCCTGGGCAAGTGCTAATGACAGCACTGAGAAAGCAACTTTGGATTTAGCAGCTTTTTAGCATGTGCTAAGTCCTTTCCCTAGAATGTCTCATTCAGTCCTCAAAACCATCTCAATCTCGATAGCCTCAATTTACAGATAAGGAAATGGAGGTTTAGAAAGGTTAAATATATTGCCCCAAATCACAAACATAGAAAGTAGTGAGGTCCAGAATGCCACCCAAACAAATTAAATCCAGGTTGTCATCTATCAATGAGTGAATCAATGAAAATACAATCAACAAAGTCCCTCACCAGGTAAGGGATGCTTTGGCCCTTCCTACTTGGGGCCATTGTAATTCACAATGATTGACCCATTACTTGACCTTAAAGAGAAGGCTTCAAGAAAGGGAAGAGAAAGGGCCTCCCTGGTGGTGCAGGGGTTAAGCACTGCACTATGAAGCAATCCGAAGCCTCTGCAGCATGAGTTCAATCCCCAGCTACCAGGGAGCAACCCACATGGGGCAGCAGACCCCTCCTGTCTCTCCCGCTGCTCCCCTCAGCAGTGTATTTCATTCAGTCTGCCTGTTCTGTTCCCCACTCTGTCTCTGGTGAATCCTCTCACACACACACACACACACACACACACACACACACACACACACACACCTCTAGCCTGTACCCCAGCTTTTGTATGCATAAATATATAAATCTTTAAAAAAAGGGAAGAGAAAGCTTTAAAGAAGACAGGAGATACAGGGGTGTGTGGATATGTGGGTGTATATACCACTGCACTTTCTCCAGCATGCATGCGGCTCTCAATCATCTTCCCATCCTCCTTGTTCAGATGTCACTTCAACGGAGTTATTTTCAGATTACGAATAACACAGTGCCCTCCATTACCCCTTTACTGTTTTATTGTTCTTCCTAACACCACTACTCATTTATTACATGTTCTTCATAACACATACCACTACTCATTTACACACACACATACACACACACAGAGAGAGAGAGAGAGAGAGAGAGAGAGAGAGAGAGAGCAGCTTTATAAACCAGACTGGAATAAAACTGGTTTCAGACACTGGACAACAGATAGTAAGTATAGCAGAATAATTCCTGAAAAAATAAGAAAGCAGATGAAGTGAGCCCTACAACTGGACAAACAGCTGCCTGGAGAGAATCTCCAGGCTGCAGTTCAGGAAGAGAGGGACCTAGGCAAGATTCAGAAGTTACTCTGGATGGAGGAGACAAATGAGAAGAATTCAGAAAGTCTAAGGCAGTAGAGTTTACAGCGCAGTAGTGAAGTGGAGATAGCTACAGAGAGAGAGAGAGAGAGAGTTCTGGAGATCCACAAAGGGTTCCCCTCAAGTCTTGTGCTAAGTACTAACTGGAACTTGCATGTGAAGAAATTGCTCTAGACCAGGGAAAGAGCCACCTGAAGGGAACAAATGCGAAAATCCCCCAGGTTCACTGAGAAGGCCCAGCCAGAGTGGGAAAACCTGGTAATATACAAAGTCTAGGTGGAAGATTCCTAATGATATTGCTTCAGTATTGGAGCAACATTAGCCCTCAAATAAGGCTGCTTATAAAAGAAGGTCCTGACTGGATGGTTTCACTAATGATTTCTAGCAAACTTTCTCAACTGATGGACTAATACCTATCCTTGCAAAAACTCTTCAAAATAAATGAAGAAGAGGAAATCCTTGCAAAAATGTTATGGGACCAACATTACTCTGATAGCAAAAGCAAACAATGATATCTCCCCAAAAGAAAACTACAGCCCAACATTGATGCAGCAACAAAATATACGTGGCTTTTTCGAGCTAAATTCCAAACCTCTGGAACTTGCATGTGAAGAAATTGCTCTAGACCAGGGAAAGAGCCACCTGAAGGGAACAAATGGGAAAATCCCCCAGGTTCACTGAGAATGCCCAGCCAGAGTGGGAAAACCTGGTAATATACGAAGCGTCTAATTAGGGTCTGTGAACAGGCAGAATACAAAATAAGATATCTTACTTAACCTATCCTCTCTCTTGTCCTCCTGGTCTACGAATAAGGTGTTCTTTTGTCTTTCTTGGAAACAGGCTTCGTCTCAGGGGGGTCTGGCAGAAACAAGGACTTTGGGAAGCAATTTGACTTTTCTCTGCTTTTCTTTAGAATGTTCCAGTCCTGAGTCCTAGAGCTTTTGATAATGGCTAAAATAGGACACTTATTCTAGCATGTAAGGATTTTAACTCCGATCTCATATTGGAGACATATAAAAGTATATCAGGAAAGAACTTAACTAAAGGAGTGTATCAAACTTAACTTAAAAACCTAAGTTGTTTAGGGAATTATGCTATCCTTGCTTTGAAAAATGTCCATTCATCCAAAATCTCTTCTAAGAATTTAAGGAAAAATGTGGCCTTGAGAAATTAATAACAAATTTTCTGCCCCAGTTTCTTTCAAACCTAAATTTAAGGACTGTTTTCTTATCTGAAGCAGTTAGTAAAGAAGGACTATTTAAAAATTGAATGAAAGTTCTTGGTGTCTTCACAAATACTAGTAAAAGAACTGTTTTTAGGGCCTCCCCTGGTGGCACAGGCGGTTAAGTGCCGTGCTGTGAAGCTGTCCACAGTCTCACAGCACCAGTTCAATCCCAGCAGACAGGCGAGGGTCCCACATGGTGCTGCAGACCTCTCCTGCCACACGTGCTGCTCCCCTCAGCAGTGTATTTCGTCAGTCTGCCTGCTCTGTTTCCCCCGCTCTGTCTCTGGTGAATTCTCTCACCCTCCCACACATCTGGCCTGTACCCTGGTTCTTGTGTAAATAAATAAATAAATAAATAAATCTTTTTTAAAAATAAATAAAATAAAATAACTGTTTCTAAAAACTAATCCACATGACCAAAATTTCAAATGAAAATTAAGAGATCTCTGTGTCTGTGTTTGTCTTTGTAACTTTTACCGCTGGAGAGTTATTATGTTAGAACTAATTATAAATGGTGCCTATATAAATTCTAATATGATAAAAAAAAAAAACCAAAGTTTGACATCACAATCCAGAATTTTTGGTAAATAAGAACAGTTCAAAATTTAAAGATTTAATGAAGCATGGCTTTAAAAGTTATAATGTTGAGTATTAATGTTTTTATTCTGTATTTTGTTGTTACAGGAAATTTTTTTGCCACTTTGTGGGTGGAACGCTATGAGGGACACAGCAGTCGTGGAGCAGGTTTGCAAGGCAGGACTCTGCTACTTGAGCAGAAGTTCTTGTGCCATTTATTGAAAGCATAGAGGCTAGTAAAAGCTGATCATGCGGCAATGATGTGAGGAATAAGGTCCGGAGGGTGGGACAGGAATGGGGGACAAAGTTTTACAAGGGACAGGGC